CCGGTAGGGACCGGTTAAGGCCCGGCCCGGGACCGAATTTTGGCCACCTCTAGTTCGAATCACCAAAGCAAGACGTCACCACTTTACTTGGCCGATTTCATTATTTTCTTCAGAGTTCGACTTCCAAGTTAAGTCGTCTTTTCTTTTTCTCAAACTAATATGTAGATTCCTTTTCTCTACATACAAACTAAGGGTGGTTCTCTCTAACGCTAACAAAGCATTTGAGTAAGAGTCATCACTCTTACTTGTCTTACTATCAGGAGCAATTTCTAGCCATTAAAACAGCATAGTAATATTATTGACCATCACTTATCTGGTAAAGTTTTTTGTTCTTGTCATGCTCATCCGGTAAGGTAGGTGACGTGATAAATGTTATCATTTGATAAACGGCCCCTAAATGTACATCATAACAAGAAACAAAAAGACCATGGAAACATACAATTGTTTTTTGAAGATATATATATATATATACACACACACACACACATATATATATATATATATATACACATTATGATGTTTTGGTGTAATGTAAGGATACAATCTTGGCAAAGGATGCACACAAGATTTTGGTATGGAATGGCCTCAGACCCTATGGAATGGGTGTGTGAGGTGGTAGACCTGTTTGTATGTATGTATGTATATATTTTGCTTGCATCTCAAAGGATATATATATATATATATATATATATATCCCTTTTTCATCAAATTAATGAAAAACCCATCTTCAGAATCAAATGCCTAACAAAGAGGAAGACTTGCATTTCTCTGTTTCAAGAATAATGGGTAAAAAAACACATTAAACACACACAACCAAAATTACCATATGATGGGTCTCATTTGCTGCTATACAAAAGCTATTCAATCTTCAGTAGCAAGGGCTGATTGCAATACATCTTCAAGATATTTCTCAGCAGCTGCATATTGCCTTTTCTTATCCTCGATCGCAAGTGCAGCCAACGCCTTATCCTGCATTTCAGAAACAGAATCAAGATCAAAATATATTGCAATTTTCATCAAACAAATGGGAATAATATAACCAACTTACTGGTGGCAAGTCTTGATAGCTTCTCAAAGTATCAAGGATGGGCTTTGTTTTCTTGTCTAAATCTTTTCTATGCTCCGCCATTTCCACCAGCATTCCATGACTGATCTCCGGTGTGTACCCCACACGAGTAAGCATCGCCTGTTATAAACCATCTTTTTGTTACTATGCACCCAAAGAAACACACTAAATATATTCAGATCAAGTAAAGTGGTCCAAATTCAATCACTAACTATCAATGACTCGTTTTGTAGCAGAACCAAATTGGAACTTTCAATGTACAGGTCCAAATGCGAGTCAGATTGTTCATTTTCTGATATTTTCCTTTAAAGCAACAATCTTGTACAAGATTCTTTGAATTTAACTCGATAGAAGCATTTGTATGGTGAAAATTTTAATGGAACTAATGATTTCCGTTTATGGGTGTTATAGATGAGACCTTAAGGTGTTTGCCAGCTTACCAGATGTTTGGGTTTTTTGAAGATTGAATTACTGAACAGACGAAGAGATCATCAAGAGTTCTCTGTAAACCATGCATTGATTATGTGGAGTCATCTTGAGAATGATTATCAACAGTTACTAGGCTGCTTGGTTGCCTACTTTATTCTATTTCCCAAATATATCAATTCATATTCTCATCTTGTTGATCATGCCGAGCCTTCCAATCAAGGTTTATCCATAAACAAAGTGTAGAACTAGGATGTTAGAGGTAGAGGACTCACTTGTTGATGGTAAGTTCCTAGCTTCTATGAAGTCAAACTTGAAAAAGGGAAGTCATGCTTTCCTCTAGACGTGTAAATGATCATCTTATACGCAAGAAATGTAGATTGTAGAGAGAGCACCAAGATCATTTCTTTCACATTTTGATGGCTTCAACATTAGAGCAAGTTAATATAGAGAATATCCGACCATCATTCTAAAGAAAGGAATATCCGACCATCATTCTAAAGAAAGGAAACTTTCAAAACGTATAGAATTAGAAACATTGGGAGATTACTTAACTATGTGAGAACTGTTTACCATCCATCTTCTCAATGAAAATGCTTGGATCCTTAGGAATCTTAGCACACTACCCATAGCAAAAGAAGGTTTCTTTTTAGCCCATGGATCAAGAAAAGTGCATAAAATGGATAAAAAACCTTATGCATCTCAAATGAAATTCTCTTCAGAATTGAATATATAAGATGATGTACTAACGCATTACATTTGTTCACGACTTTAGAAAAACAAGACAATAGCATTATTAAGTGATCAACGTACACAGTCACTCATTTAGGCAATTCACATTAAGAAACGTCGTTGTGAATTCTTGAACTTTAACTGTTTCAAAAAGCAAAACAAAATAACTGGAAGCTTACCTTGTAGTTGGCGTACTGTTGAAGGTATTGTCTCTCTTTTGAAACCATAATTGCCAGGTTCGTTTTCCAACTCTCCATTTGAGCCTCACAGGGAGCTACATCATCTTCCAGTTGTGAAAGTGTTCTATTCGAAACAAAGTTAAATTAGAACTGATATGACAACCATATGTTTTCAATCATCTTTTACCAAGACAGTTCAATTTAGAGATAGTTAACATTTTGTAGTTATCAATCAACATTTAATGACTTCCATTAAGAACTCCATACTCATTCAGATGGATTTACCTTTTCAAATAAGTCAGCCTTGCTATGGCCTTTCGAGTGTAATCAAGAAGAATTTTGGATTCCTTCTGCACTTTAGCCCTCTTATCCTCTACTCCAGTCTTCCTTAATGAAACATCCCCCATGGCCACAAGAAAACTACATGCATCTCTCCATGTAAGAAAAGCATATCTAAGCATTGAAAGATAAATGAGACTATAACGGGTATATATTACCAACCTACTCAGCTCGGTGTCTCTAATGTTCAGCAAATTTGCTACATTAGCAAGAACTTGTGAAGATGAAACCACATTTGCCGGCAAGCCTTCTTGTGCTAACCCCACATTCTCTAATATCTCTCTAATCCTTGCAGCTACGACACCAAATTAAAGAAGAAACAGACAACTCAGAATTGTGAGTATTGAACTTTCTTTTTTTGATTAACCCAGACAACTCACCGCATTTGAATTTGAACCTCCATGGCCACAAGGGTATTTTTATTCCTCCTTGGATTTGAACCTGAGACCTCCAGGTACTTTTGACCTTTGGAGGCAAGCTCAAACCAATCAGGCACCACCCTTGTGGTTGAGTATTGAACTTTTCTTCACAATATGTAATTGAAAAATGCTCTTATCAATTATGAAGTTGAAAACCAGTCTGCTTTAACATTCATATTCAAGATTTACCTCTTTTCTTTTGGAAATGAAGGACTAATGCAAAGTCATTCTAAACTCATCCACACAAACCACATTCCATTTTCCCCAAATTAAAGAAACCAAGAGAAATAAAAACCCAACTGCTATATAATCCCTAGTATCCTTTGGGCAAAGTTTGATTGATTGAAAACCAAGATATGAGAAACATTAGCATCAAACAAACATAGACCAGTAACCCAAATCTCAAGTAAATGTAGAACATAGAAGAAGTGTGACAACCTAACCTTGGGATCGATACTCAGAGGCTTTAAGTCGGAAATCATTGGCAATTATGGTGGCAGCTTGGGTTTTGGCTTGAGAAATTGTGGCTAAATTATGTAAATGGGAAATGGTACGAGAGGTATACTCAAAATCAGGTACATGATCCTTCCCAGCGGCATCGAATTGAGAAACCAACCAAGAATTCAGTTCCCCAATTCGGTTGGCATCGAAAGACCCACTACCAGTTTTTGACAACTCGTTTACAGGGAGATCGGTTGAGTCACTCATTCCCTTTTCTTTAGGTTTCTTGACGTAGCGTTGGTGGTGTTGCAATTTGGGGGATGATTTTGATTCAAAAACGGTACTCAGATTTATGAGAACCGGGTAATGACGTAAATGAAGATCGGCCGGCCAGGGGTGTTTTTGTAATTTCGCAAAATCACCAAACACCTATTTTGTATATAAAATAATCATCTTTTTCTAAACATTATAATTAAGGTCTGTTATTCGGTAGCTTAACAAGTTTAATAAAATTAACAACTTATTCAGATATTATATATGATTAGAAAAGTATCACATAATGCAGCGAGACATATATCGATTTTAATGATCTAATTTATTATTTGTCTCTGTCGATGTTATAATACGATTTTATGTGTGTTTAATAAAGCATTAATGATTTTATTTTTGAATAAAATATAAATTTGAAAAAAAATATATCAATGTTAATATCAAATCAACTATTTAAAAGTTCTCATTTTTATGTAATTTTTTTAATTTATTTTTTTATTAAAATTTAATTTAAGTTTAATAGCGAAATAATTTATTTTTTGTTTAATAATATAACATTTTATAAAAATAATAATTAAGTATTCTGTTAGAACTCAATAATTATCCTAATTATATTTTAGATTTTGTATATTCAAAATGAGATGTTTATCATGTATTTTGATTATGTTTATCTGTGGTTAGTTACACGAATTCAGATATGGAGCTTTAATAAGTTGTACTTACGTACAATCTACTTGTAATCTTGAGTTTTAAGTAATATGCATTAATAAACAGTATTTTACACATAAAAAATGGTTTTTAAGAGTTTTAGGCAAATGCTTTATAATATAGTATAGATTTAGATTATTTGGTAGTGACTTGATTATTTAAAGTGGTTTATACAATAAGTTTATAAAAGGAGTTTTATGTAAAAAATCTAAGTTTTTTATAATAATTTATAAATAGAAAAAAAACAGATATTTGGTGAATTTTTTAGCCAAAAATAATTAGTTTGATGATTTATTTTATTAATTTTCTGTTTTCTTCAATATAAAAATGACACCAGAAACTATTTAACTTTGTTGTGATTTTTAAATAAGTTATCAAACTATAAAATAGTAAATATAGGTCATTTAAATTCTCAATTTCTATAAAAAAAAATTATTAATCTAGGTATCCAACATGCTATGTGAATCGACTGATATCAGGATGACCACCTGTTTTGCGGATAGTTTGGAGTTATCGTATTTGAACGTCCGTGGTCACAAGAGGATTTTTATTCTTCCTTGGATTTAAACTTGGGACCTCCATGTACCTTTGACCTTTTGAGCTCAAATTCAAACCAATCAGACAAAAATCATTTAAATCAAATTTGAACAAAAGGAACTATTATATTTTTTAGCTTAATTTTAAAGTTACAACTTGTAAAACTAACATAAACTTTAAAGATTCTTTTGTTTCCAACTTCTATCTTTTGTATTCTATCTCTTTTAGGAACTATTTGAGAGTTGTTGAATGGTTTGATATAGAATGATAAAGTTACCAGAATGATTAAGGGACTCTCATGATATAATACAAAATGAAATATAACTGTTTGATAATTATTTACAAAGAAATTAGGACGTTGAATGGTTAAAGAAGACCCATAATACAAGATCATTCAGAGCATTTTAGAATCATTAAGAGACAGATTTTTTTTTACCAAACAAGATTCACCTCTTAACGATCCAGAGGTTACCTCTTAATAGAACTATTAAAAAGTAAACAAACAATCTCTTAGTTATTTGGTATCATTTTATTTTGATATGGTTAACAAAACCAATGGTTTTTAGTAATATTTTTCATATTTGATTTTAATAAAAATCAAATATAATTAGGTAATTCACATTTATTATTAAAAATCCAATTATGTATAATATTTATTCTTTTTAAATTTGATTATTTTGATTATAAAATATTTAACATCTAACATTGCTTAAATGCCATAGTAATTGTTCACTTTTGGACCACAGAGTGAACACTTATGATTTTTAAAAGGAAAAATTATTGAACCAAAATTTGTTTCATCTGATGAAATAAAATAATAAAACAATTGCATGATTAAATTAATGAAACATTTTATTGTTGTTTTATTATCACGTTGTTGGTTTGTAAAAGTAAAATATATTATGTAACACTCGGAATTTACACGTCGAAAATAGAGCAAAGAGTAGGAGAAATTGTGTAAATAATGGGAAAAAAATAGTTTAGGGACCTATTTGTATTTAGCCTAAACTTATGGACTAAATTGTATTTAACCCAAACTTATGGATTAAAATGTTTTGAGCCCAAACTTATGGACTAGAATACTATATGTTCAATCGCGTTGTTTGTGACACAGGCACACCATCTAGGGACGCAGTACATGAGTTGCAGGGGATGCAAATGGCCTACGAGCCTAGCAGGTTGCTACAAATTGGGAAGCAAGTCAGGGGCATGTGCACACGTTGTGAAGCAGGTTGCATAGGAGGTCGTCACGAGCTCAAGTCACTGATGTCACTTTGACCAAAGTTTGGTCGAGGAAAAATGGTTGTCTAGCACTCCAGCTCGTTGGGCACAATTAGGTGATAGCAAATCAGTGTAGATGGATCATAGAACCTAACACATTTGTGATGTATGTATAAGTCGTACACATGAAATGGTACAAGGAGTTTGTTATAATTCACATGAGTTGTTATAAGACTGTTAATGGATACATACCTATATATGCTTGTGATGCTATTTACCATGTTATATTGGCGAGATGTGATTTTAACACATTTTTATGCAATATATGTACTTGGCATGTATATGGTGTTACATATGATGTTTTTTTATTAACATGGATATCCAACCCGCTATGCGAGCCGACTAATCTCAGGGCGACCATATGCTTTGCAGATAGCCCGAAGTCACTGCATTTGAACCTCCGTTACTAGGGGTGCTCACGGCTCGGGTTGATCGGTTTGGAGCCGTTTTAGTAACCCAACCCAATGTTGGCGGTTTAAAAATTTTCAACCCAACCCAACCCAAACAAAAGTTCAACCCAACCCAACCCAACCCGTTCGGGTTGATCGGGTTGGTCGGGTTGATCGCGGGTTGTGTTTAAACAATGTAAAATCACATAAAAATAAAGGAAACTTTTCTTTGAAATACGACCGACTATTCAAGATAATATGCAAGTTCATCAAATATTTAGATATTACAATAAAAAT